TGTACATAAATTTTGAAATAAATCATGGTGAATTCCATAGAGCAAAAACTTTATATTATAAACCTATAGGTCTCAAAAAATATATATTTAAAAAAATTTTTTTTATAAAATTAAATATTATTAAAAACTTTTTTAGTTAAATTATTTAAATAAAATTTTAATAATAACAAATTTTGAATTAAATTCAAAAAAATAATATAAATATACTTATAAAAGTAATGAAATATATAGGGCTTCTAATGGTACCACTTTAATACTTGTTTAATATCAGTTTGATATTTAAATTTACTATAAATTCATATAAGTGAGTTATAATCCATATATTAAATTTACTATAGATCAATACTATTTCGATACTACTTTGATACTAGTTTAATATTTTTTGAAGTCTTAGAAATATAATTGTTATAATTAATATACTATATAATTAATATTTTAAATATTTTATAATATTGTTAAATTAATTTATTAAATAATATTTTTTTTTTAAAAGTATATTTTTTTTTTTTGTAATTCTTTTTTGAATATTGATAATGATTTATATTTTTTTATTAAAATTTTAGTTTTTTATTATGTTTTTATATTAAAATATAAATAAAATATAAAGTTTTAAGAATAAAAAAAACAAAAAAATTTTTAAAATATTCTTAAATAACCTTAAACTAATTGATAAGTTTTCAAATATTTATTGGATTTTTCATAATATTTAAATAAATTTTAAAAAAACATTCAAAACTTTGCAACTTATATTGCATATAAACTTTTATACTGTATATATAATATATTTATTTTATTTATTTTTTGTTTTATTTGTTTAAATATTAAATTAATATTTAAAATTTATTAATACTTATTAAAATTTTATTCTAGAATTTAATATTAATTTACAATATATTAAAAATAAATCTAATTAATGTAAAGCTGAATTTTAGTAACAAATTATTAGACACTATATAATGCAAAAATTACAAAAATCAAAATAATTATCAAGCATCAAAATAGATAAATCAAATATTTTGATTTTTGATAGGATAATACTAATATCTAAATGATGCCTTGGTCAACGGCCATAGGGTCATTCACTTCGTCGGTGTCCAAATCCTTTGCAGGTATAGTACCATCATCAAAATTTTCAATTGCAACCCTCAGCCTGATTTCTTTTTCAATCATCACATTCATGACTTCATCCAATTCTTCAGCCTTGAATTGTGACTTTAACTCACGAAAGGCCATAGTGTAAAGATCTAAATTGCTCATATTGTTAACTGGCATTCAAAAAAAAAATACAGCAAGTCCACAAAGAAACATGGCTTAAAATAAAGTCATACCTTTTGACCAAGGGCATTCCCTTACAGCTCTATAATATAAAGTTTTT